ATCAAATACCTACAAACTAACTCTTGAATATTAATCTGATGTTGGCTAGTGACTGGCCACAGGACGACGTTGCCTAGAGTTCTAGTGAGAAGTTATGACTAGTGAGGTCAAAAGTGAGGACAAACACTCGTCGACGACACTGGCAGGAGTTGGAATTCATGAGGCATTGGATCGTGTCCTATTGACTGGATGACTTATGAATTTGACTTTCAACCGGAAGGCTCTGGGTTCGATCTCGAAAGGTACTCGTTACTTCATACCCTTGAAGATTCGCAGATTAAAACTAAACAGATATCCGGTACTCTCTAAATTTCAGTGTATCTCTAAATGACATCAATCCACATTCGAACTGGAAACAAATCAAATCTCTACAAAATAACTCTTGAAAAACAAGTTTGTCTTTCTGTTTATTGAGAACGGCTGTGGATGTATATGTAAAAATATTCATAAATAAGAGTAATATTACAGAAAAAGCTATGAGTTTGAAATTCGCTCCCAATACACTTCATGATTTATTGATCAATATAATTTAAACTATTCAGAAATTTATTTTATGTTCAATAATGAATGCACATAAGTAGAAAAAACATTAATCTGTTGTTTTCCTTTACAGAAAAAATAACACATTAATCATCGTAATAACGACTTTAAGTGGAAATAGAGATTGATAGTAATCTGCAGATAAAGTAAACAATAAAACTCATCACCAACGAGGTATGAACGACGGCGGGTAGACTTCAGTCTCCCTCTAAAAATAACTACACGTTCCTACCCTCTGGCGGGTAAGTCCTATTCACTGCCTTCAAGCCACAGCGGGGGTAATATTCACAAAAGTGGAAAGGGGAATTCGAACCTCTGGCACCTACAACTCGACAGATAGAAATGATGGTGTACTTTAGGAGGCTGGAAAAGCATTATTCGAAAAATACCCATGGTGTACGTGTTCTCCAGAATCCAAATGGGTCGAATGACGTACGAACTCATTTTTCGGTCACCAGAGACTATGACAACGTAGCTACTGACTCTGTTCTACTGCCTTGTGAAACAGGCTTTAAGTTAAACACATTTGAGGAAGTGAACAATGAAAACAACTACCTCCTTAAGTCTGGGCACCCGGGAGTATCTCATCCCTAGCACAAAATGTAATATTTTGTGTGGTACTTGTCTTGGTACCCACCATGTATCAAGTTTGTTTTATTACTAACAATAATTATAATAATAAAAGACAAGTTTTTGATGTAGAATATTGAAATATATTGATGAATTGTGAAACCTGGCTAAACAGTCTTACGTAGGTTAAAATATTAAGTGATGAATATCGTTCAGAAATGATTATCGTCAAAACTGTTAGAGCTTGAGAATATGCATGAGGTGTTCTTTTTGAAAAAAGTTAAGAGCTTAAATAAGAATGAAAATGACCATGGATAACACACAAAGTTGTTGCACAACAAGTCACCATGCTAGTAAGAGGATAGGATAAACCGTTTCTATGTGCAAAATTCAGCAAAACGATTTCTAACAAAAGAGAAGACCAACAGCTTGGAATAAGAAGCATCGAATAGCAGATTCCAAGAGATAATATTGATTGGACATTAGTCAGTAACTAGTGTAATGTATCTAATCCTTTGTTTCGTACAGACTGAATTCTATTAGTCAAGTTTGCAACGTGGCCACAGTGCTAGCTGACTCGCCATCACTGTGTACTGTGAATTGTTGATATCACATGGTTGGAGGCAATCGCCAAGAAGCCTTGAACCTAGGTTTCGTGCTTCTTACCAATCACCAGTCAGCAAGGCATATCTGCAACCATGAAGGAACTCATCTCTCTTCTGAGATTGGAACCCGCGTCACCCAGTGCTGCAGTCAGAGACGTTACCACTGAGCTGTTTGGTTACTGACTAGTGTGCAATCGAAAATATCCAATACAGTCAGTCATACAGGAGATCAATCATGAGCCCGAATAGCCCAATGATAACGTCTCTAACTGCAGCACTGGGTGAAGCTGGTTCAAATCTCAGAAGAGACATGATTTCCTTCAAGGTTGCAGATACGCCTTGTTGACTGGTGAGTGGTAACAAGCACGAAACCTAGGTGCAAGGTTTCTTGCTGATTGCCTCCAACCATCTAACAGACATGAAATGAACATAGAGAAAACGGGCTTGATAAAGACGTCTAACAACAAGGCAACGACAACAAGTATCAATCACTTTCAAATTCCGTCACTGATCTCACCGGAATCGTTTCAAATACAGGTGGCACAGATGAAGATGTCAAAACCACACAGGACGAGAAAAAATTACAGAAATTCATTACTTCGAAATCAGTCTGAAAATGTAATGTACTAAACATAAAGAATAAGATTCCCATTAACAACACTAATGTAAATTCAGTACTTTTATATGGTTCAGAAACTTGGCTCATATGTGACGAAAAGCATTTCCAACATTTTGCAGACTTTTACCAACAGCTGCCTTTACTCAATATTGAAGATCAGACAGCTTGTTAGAAAGAATCAGCAACAAGGATCTCTGGTGACGAACCAGTCAAATACCTGTTGCTCAACAAATATTCCAAAGAAGATGGAGTGGAGTCGAACACTTGCTGAAGAAACCGTTAGGTGACATCACGCATCACGCTATCGCTCCAGTAAAACCTGATTGGGAAACGACAACTTGGGCGTAGGTTTGACAGTAACGTGGAGGAGATCGTGTAAGGGGGAGATACGAGCCAAAGGGCCATAGTGGAGCCAACTAAAGACAACTACAGAAAAAGAATGAAATGGGGTTGTTCTGTTGAAGTCTTATGTTCCACTCAGAACCCATGGAAATAATTTCAGATAAACAGGTGAATATTTATTCGACATATTAGAATCGCGTAAACATTTTCATATCTAAAGACACTTAAAACCTGCGATGACTCCTTGTGATAACTACATTTTAGCTAAAAATTATTGAATGTAACTGAAGTCAAAAAGATTTGTAATTCAGGTGAATGGTTTTAATGTGGCTGCATTCTTTATGCTGACTTACTTAAATTAATCTTCTTAGACTCTCTGAACACCTTCCATTATTTAATGTTTAAGTTGTTTTATGATTTATATACCACACTGGGAATGTGATAAGTAATCATGTTACAGAAAATAAATTGGTAATCATTTCTTCCCTGCTTCTGTCTGATTATCTTTCATAACGGTCTTAGAAGAATTGACTGAGTAGTTGATATAATGAAAACACTACATAACAGTCAGTCAAACTCTCAGCAATACGACTGATATTAACGTCTGGTAGATCTGAGATCTTAGTTGGTAGGAAGATTTTCGTCCCAACACAAACTATCAACCTTATAACAAGTTAAATTAAATTACTGAAATCTTTTCCTTAATAATTATTGGAAACATTTAACTAAATAAGCATTGAGAAAATGAACTAGTATAAAAGATAACATGAATCAATCATCGATGAGTATAAAATCATTCAAACTGTTTTAAAATACAGCGAAAATATTCATTTACACATCTAGAAAAAACTAAAAATCGATGATTTCCTCTTCCGGCTCAAGTATGATTAGTTCTGAAAAGGCCTTAATCTAAAAACTTCAGTTACTCGGAGATAACATCAGTGAGATATTAGTACAAAGCCTACAAAACACAGAGGTAAAAAGAGCAATTTGTGCTGCTGAATTATGCTGTGTCTTCGAAACCACCCCATTTTGCATTTGGGAGTTAAAGATAGACTGCCAAATTTCGTCTCAATTTGGCTGCTCATGTGGAGCCAGTTACAAAGGCCATACACAACTAGGCGTGTTTCTCGTCGGATTTCCGAACATCACTCTGCGTGGTTAAGTAAAGAATAAACAAAATCCATTCATAGCTCTATTCTATCTCATCTCGTGGATACAGAACACAAGCTTTCAAAGTCATCTACCGCGCATACCAAATAACCTTAACTTTACCTTAAGAGTTGATCGTCTACTATATACTGATGAGGCCGCTGGGATCCACATTAAGAAACCTAACTTACGCATCGAAAAGAAGGCGGTTCAGACACTTTCCTTACCCCACTGGCAATCAAGGTCTTAGTGATCCTCAGTTTGTTGTGGAAATTTCCTTAATTTTAGTTGATATTCTATTTGCTATCACATTTCTATGCTTATTATAACTTAATCGTCTTTCTTGAACTGTAATTCCACTGATTTTACTTAACAAAAGCATATTATTTAAAAAACACCAATATTGTTAGTGACGATTATTCTAAAATAATCTGTGTATATAAACATATACATAATTGTAGAGACAGAAGAGGAAATTATCGACAGGGATTTCTTTGCTCAATTATTCTTTGTCGTCTAGATGTTTTAGAATATCTAGGTTAACTAACGTATTCGCCTCATTCTTTTGCGTTCCAAGAGTAACATAGGGTTTCAAAACTTCAGCTTTGAAGTTTCATTGGCGGTGTGTTGTTTTTACGGAATGGCGCTATTGACCTCACGCCCAATCTTCCCTCTTTTTCCAGACTTACTAATGGCTAAGCAAGGATTAGGAGTGAATCGGCTGGGATTCGAACTCGGACTTTCTACTTTGCTGGAGATCATTTTACACATTTGAACTACCGAAGCACTACCGTATTGATTAATAATTTGAAAAAAAAGCAATAATTAATTCTCCATAGACAACGTTTTGCTACTTATGAGTAGACTGAGTATGGTACTCGAAATATCGTCAACGAAAACATTCATTTGTGGTTACGATGATACTGCCCAGCAGATGTCTAGTTCTGCATAATTGTTAACATTAAAAAAAATCTAGACGAACTATTCACTCTAAAAAGGACTATTGACACTCCATCGCCTACTGGAACATCGAAAGTGTAGATAACAAATAGCCTACGTACTTATGTGTGTGTAGGGGGACTACAGGAGGCATGATGTACTGTTATTGACACTGAACGAAAAAAAAGCATAAATGTCACAATAAAGTAAACAAAAAATACAGGAAAAATTACCTGTTACCGATTTTTGATCAAACTTTTCAGGCAACTGAAACGTAACAGCTCTAGATTTTGGCGGTTTCAGATTTTCATTAAAATATCCAACTGAATGTTCTTTCATACAATTTTGATTATAATCTGGAGGTAAGTCGTCATTTTCTAAATTGTAATTAGATCTGTTTTGTTGGTGATAGGAATCATTATTCTCCTCTTCCATATCAATTTTGTGACCAGGCTGATAGGATTGTCTTTTATGATTTTCATTATTATTATTATTAGCAAGTGATGCACGAACCATATCAGATAAACTTGGATGAGAAAGTGATCGTGTCAGCTCAGAATCACAGACAATCACTTTCTCACCATTTGAACAAACAGCAATTGATTGGATTGATCTGGGAGAACTGGATGCAGATAAAGTAGGCGATGCAGCTGAAGACGAAGTCATAGGCGAGAAAACTGTTTTCAAACCTTCACCTTCTTGACTTTCATCATCATCACCATCATCTTCGTCAAGACCATCCAAAGACTTTCGAGGAGCACATATAAGTCCCAAAGCAAAAATCAGTATCAAAGGAATGAGTCCCAAGGCTGGTTAAAAAAAATTAAATAAATAAATTGTGGTAAATAATAGTTTTAATGTGAATCAGATCAACACAGTTTGATTAACTTGTATAAGGTTATTCACATTCACTTACCAATACGCTGGACTCATTTAAACACTTACACAAGACATTTTTTGTAAATGTCATAACATCCTATAAAAGACTGGACTATAAAAACATACAATTTTCAAGTGTTGGTTTGTAGGGATTTGATTGGTTACAGCATTTTCATCATGAGCTAACATTAGTTAGAGAACCATTGGAAAACCTGGGAGTACTGGACAGCTGTTTCGTCCTAGTTTGGGACTCTTCATCAGTACGCACCCACCAGGATTCGAACCCAGGGCCTTCTGGTTTACAAGGCAAGCTCGTACACCATTAAGCCACTGGGACCCGATCCAATGGTCCATGAATTCTAACTTCTGCCAATTCACGACATAGCGCGACCCCTAGCCAATGTCTTCGGCGAGTATTAGTCCTCACACCCGACCTGCTGCACCCTACTGGTCACGATTTCTCACCAGAACCCCAGGCAACTACCTACCTGAATAGGACAAGTCGCTAGTGAGCAGCTCATTGATATTCAAGTGTTGGTTTGTAGGGATTTGATTGGTTACAGGATTTTCATCATGAGCTAGGGGTCGCGCAGAAGTTAGAATTCATGGGTTGGCCATTGGATCGTGTTAGAGTGGCTTAATGGTATACGAGCTTGCCTTGTAAACCAGAAGGTCCTGGGTTCGAATCCCGGTCGGTGCGTACTGATGAAGAGTCCCAAACTAGGACGAAACAGCTGTCCAGTACATACACTTTTATTCCTTTGCGTTCTTCAACAAGCACATCTCCATTTCATCCTGTTCCCTATAGTTCTATCTAGCTGGCTCCACGATTGCCCATAAGCTCTCCTATCCCCTTCACATGGTCTCGTCCATGCTACCACTGGACACACACTCCCAACTCATTATTACCGATTCGGTTTGTAAATCGAGAGCCGGCCCGGCACGTGTGATATCACCCATTGTTCCCCTCAGCGTGTTTCCAGTTCATCTCCGTTTCCAACACCACATTTGTTGCACATCAGGTTGTTGGTAAGTTCGTTCCCGAAGTTTCTCATTGCTTACCCTTTCTGACCTTATGATCTTCGGTAGAGAGCAAAAGTGGCTGTCGATAAGTTTCCAATAGTCTGTTGAGAATGTGTTTTCGGTGAGGCGCGCGACAAGTCACTGAACCATGTAGAAGAACTGACTTGACATAGATACTGAGAATATGAACTCTGTTCGGTTCGACTGAGTGCAGCGGATTTCAAGACACATTTTAAATTGATAAAGGTTCATCTTGCCTTTGATATCATCAACTGTGACTCCCGCTATAGTTGAAATAATGAAAGAACTGACTTCCTTGAAATTTATCCCGTGGGCAGTGATTGGTATTTGCTGTTCTTGGTTATTGGATATCTTCATCACTTTTGACTTCTTTACGTTCACTTGAAGTTTTATCTTCGATGCTTTTTCTTTCAACGTGTTGGTTTTCGCCTCTATTAGAAATACTTATATTGAACTCTGTATACAGAGAAATACCTTATGCATATTTCAGATTTCTTAATTTCCATGCCCTAACAGTCTTGATAATAACCATTTATGAACGATATATTCGCCATGTAATATTTTCGCTTACAAAAGACTACTACTGTAGTCAAGTTTCACAATTCCCCGATACATATTTCAATATTCTACATCAAAATCATGTTGTTTCCTCTAACAGAAAATTACTGCCGATCTCTATTTCTACTTACACTGTTTCTATATCAGCGCATTAAATCGTTATTATTATAATTTATCTATTGTTTTTCTGTAGAGAAAACAACAACAGATTAGTGTTTTTTCTACTTATTTCCCTTCATTATTAAACATAAAATGAATTTCTGAATAGTTTAAATTTATGTTGATCAATAAATCATGAAGTGTATTGGGAGCGAATTTCAAACTCATGACTTTTTTCTCTAACATAAAGCTTATTTATGAATACTTTTGATAAATATATATCTAAAGTCATTCCCTAAAATAAACTTATTTTTGGAAAAAAATTATTGGGAAGGATTACTAAATCCTTCAGACAATCTAGTTTTGTTTAAAGATTTATTTAAAATAATGGTTAAATTTGAATAGGCGCTAGAATTCCTTCAAGAAACTCGTAACAAATATGACTTGGATTAATATATGTGTAAAACTTCGGCACTGTTGTTGTAAGTAATTCCATATTAGTTTGTTCATTAGATATATCACAAAGTGAAACAGTATTATTTACTGGAGGACGAGGTTTCGAACACAACATATTGTTCATAATCATATCAGTTATAATCGTACGACTTCAAAACTTGAGTTTTCTTTGTTCTCTACTATTTGTCGTAAGGGTAGTGGAATTTCCCAGAAGTCTGGGTAGACAGGTGTTGGATCATTCTTAATACACGTGTTTGCAGCTGATTCGATAAACAAAGCTTCTGTTATCAATCTTTCCCTCCATTCAGCTGTTACATTAGTTTTTAAAACTGTCATCTTATCCCATTGCATCCTATTGTATGGCTGTGTGTAATTGCATATAGTGCTATAGCTGAACTATTCTCCAAATTCCTTATCTTATTAGAGTCAACTAATCTAGATTTTACTACGTTTTTGTGCTCCGTTAGTCTGACTGCCCCTGTTCTACTAGTTTGACCTATGTATTTGACCTGACAATCATTGCAGGCAAGGTATCAGATAAACTAAATTGTTTTGTTCTATTGGCGCCACAGGATCCTTCAACCTACATAGCTTGTTTCCAGTTGATTTCGTGGGTTTGAATGCCAGCCACTTTTATTCCTGCCTTGTTAAGAATTCTACGTAAGGTTTCCGAAGTTCCTCCCTTGTATGGAATTACTACTGATGATTTAGATTCCTTATTTTTGGTTTTGTCATTATCCTGCGCATGTTTGACATGCATGTCGTCATTAATGTTATTATTATTATCACTATCACTGCTATTATGACCTGGATATTTACAACCTAATTTTATTCAGATATACATAATTAAGCGTATTTTACCTGGAACGTATAAATCCTTAAATTATTATTTCTCTACATGGATAGCCAGTACAATCTGAATTATTGCTTTATAGGATATGAGTGTTGAATTAGTTTTCTTCTCTGAGGAGCTGGTTAATTTAATTGCAAAACTTTCGTTGTCCACCTTCTAGACAACATCTTCAGCGCAATATCATATACCTGAGTTACGAAGCTTCTCGAGGATGTGAATATCTTAACTTTTTTTCGTTTTATTGGTTGGAGGATTATATCATGAGCTGACATCAATTAGAGAACCGTTGGAAAACCGCTTAAGAGTACTAGACAGTTGTTACACCAGCCTAGTTTGGGACTCTTCATCAGTACGTACCCACCGCTGGGGTCCGGACCCAGGACCTTCTGGTTACAAGGTGAGCTAGCTCGTAGACCATTAGGCCACTGAGACCCAATCTAATGGCCAGCCCAGCACGACCACTTCGCAATATTTTCTTCGATGAGTTACTGCCTCACCTTCAACCTTCGTTTTCTCTTGTTTAGTTTTTCTAAATGTTTCAATAGCTTTGCATATTAGACGATTAATTAATGCCTCACAAATATTATCATTATGTCTGCCTAAAAGATGCATCACATTTAAAATTATGATGATGACGATGTGAAAATGGAGTTGCATTCCCAGGTATTGTCTTTTTTTTGAAGATTAATTATTTATTCTTTTTTTGGTTGCTCTGGCTACATGAAAACGGTTGTTGAGTAATATTCAAAATTTAAATCTCCCATTTGAAAATGAAAACAAAAAACAAGCTTATTCTGTTAGGCATATATATACTACATATTTACTCGCTTATTGTTTTGACATTATCAAGAATTATGTAAATTACAGACTTCTCGGGAAATATGAGAAATCTACAGATGAATATTATCTATTACCCCATTTTTGTTTGATGTATGAATTATTTACTCTGTCTAGTTGAGTTTATTAGGCGCAGAAACTATGCACAGTCTAGCAGAAATAAATAAAAATAAAATAAAAGTGTACTCTGTATACAGTCGCCTTGTAAAATAAAAGTAACAAAATGTCAACCTGATCAGACATCACTGTGGCATAACTATATGCAATCAGAAGTAGAGGCAGGAGACAAAATCTGACACAATCCTCTATTGGTCTTATACTTTCAGAAGAAAAAAAGAGACAGAAGGTAAGAAATGGGTAAACAAATGAAGGCTTAATGATATTCCCATTCATTTTGATCATATTATAAGTCTCATCAATGTATTTACAGTTATTCATTTGCAAAGTCTGACTGAAACAAATCATGTTTATCAGCTTTGCAAACACTTTATTCCCATCTTTACTGTCTATAATACTTACTAGTCTTTCTCTGTCTTTATTTCATTTTTCGTCTTCAAACTATTTGCAATACAGGTTTGGCCACAAGCGGAAATCAGTTAGAAGATTACTCTGGAGAACTAGGAAGTACTGGACAGCTTTTTCGTTCTGGTTCGGGACTCTTCAGTAGTACGCTACCATCGAAGCTCCAGTCTAGGACCATCCCGGTAACAAGATGAGCTGGTAGACCATGCCCGCAAACCAACACTTGATGATTAATCTGATGATCCCTAGAGACCTGCTATGTACACGAAGTTACCTGGACTTCTAGTGAGAATTTGTAAACAGCAGCATCCACAAAATCAATTAAATCGCCTATGGCATTGGCTGATGGTTGTGCGTCGGTGGCATAGCATTTAGGACGCTCGCCGACCATGCACATGGTCCGGGGTTCGATTCCCGGCCGCCAACGCACTCCTTTACCTCGCTAAGCCAGAAATAATGCTGGTGAAGAGGAAAGGTTGGGCATGAGGCTAGCAACCCCATCCTGTAAAATACACACTGCTACAGAAACTTCAAGCCACTAGCTTGAAACCCTATGTTCCACTGGGGAACGTGAAGGAAAAAAAAATTGACTGACGGTTGCGATAAATATCACAAATGGGCAGATGTTGGGATTCATGAGCCATTGGATAGGATCCCGTTGGCTGAATGGTCCATGAGCACACCTTATAATCAGAAGATCCTTAGTTTGAACTCCAGCGGGT